TGACAACAGCAACTTGAAAGATTAGACAAGAACCTTAGGGGGCAGTGAATTTATGTTAATGCAGGAGAAACAACTCAGAAAAGAAGGGTGAGAATGGTTATACAACTCGAATAATGTAATCAATGTCACTGAATCATACATGTAGAAACTGCTGAATTGGTGTTTACATTCTGCTGTGTATATTCTCAACAATAATAAAATTTAAAAAAAGGAAAGGAAAAAAAAAAAAAAAACCATGAAGCCAAGTGAGTTTATAATAAAACACACATCATACTCACTTTCTTCCAACATCTAGACCCGTCTTCAGGATAACATCATATCGTAAAGACTGTGCAACTTTTTCCAGGTCTTTATAGTCTTTGACCACACTCGGGTCATCCTCGAGCTCCTGTTCCTGCTCATTTATCTCACTGTGATCACTCTCTTCATCAGAGTCATCTTCAGCTTCCACTTTCTGCAGAGTCTTTTTAGTGGATTTTTTAGAGCTTATATTACTTTTGAGTCTTATGGAAAATGGAAAAACATATTCTGGAGATACTAAAAGCCCTGGGAGTCTCAGTGAGAAAATATTATGGAAAAGTGTTTTATAATTTGATGCATTTAACTTGGTACTAGAAAAATATACGTATCGATTCCAGGAAGCACAGAGTTTGTATGAAGGTGTCCCCCGGAGCGCTCCCCAGAGTCCAGTCCAGGCATCTGGCTTTCTTAAAACACCAGCAGGCAATCTGACACTAGTCATAGACATGGCTCACACAACCTGAAACAGACAATAATTCAGTCTTATTTCACAAGTGGCAGAGTTGTGGCACTCTTACAACATAAACCACATATACCATGAGCACTTTGTATCTGGTACTATACTTACTCTCTCCTAAAAAAAGCTGTAGTCTACACATACTGAGGGTCATGCACCATCCTATAGGGAGTCTTCTAGCTGTAATTAACCTGCTTCCCTTACAAGGTTGTTATAGGGCCAAATGAGATAATAATATGTATAAAAAACTGGTTCTACTCTTCGCCCTTCTCCAAATTAGCTCCGGGTACTGTTTGCTAATGAAGACTATTATTAACAATACTTTTCAGTGATTTGCCTTTTTTTAAAAAAAGATAAGATAATCCTGTGGAGAGAAAGGCTACTTACTGACATACATCCTTACAATAGTGACTTTGCTGATGAGGGATACCAGTTTGTGACTTCATAAAACCCAGAGTGAATCTCTAAATTTTATTTCAACCTCCAACCCCAGCAAATCAGAGCTAGTAATGAGCAAATTGGACAGATCCGTGGGAAAACAGACCTCCATCCCACTGCTAAACAGAAGCATTAACTAGCTGAGAAGAAAGGGGCCTAGAGACCCGCTAACTGGGTAGTTGTTTGCTTAGGCACCAAGGTGCTGACATGTCAGAGGGCAATCAATTCCTACTGTTACCTAAAACACAGCAGGAACTGTATTATGATGGTGGCTGACTTCCCAAAGTTCACCAACATGGCTTTGGAGACCATGATGTGGTAATGCAAGAAGAGTTTCCATATGGTCAGTACCCTCATGACTTTCCTTTGGTGCCAAGGTTATACTTTGGGACTTTTTCTTTGATAATAATTCTCATGATTTTCCCTCCCTACTTTCCATTACTTACAAAGCTGACAACAGCAATTATATGTAAGGCTCACTCATAAGCACATAGCAAATATATTCATTAACATTTTGAGCCTTATTTTTGCTGGCATAAATGAGGCAGACAACACAAGTGCAAACTCTATTACCCACCACTCATGGGGCCCCAGTTTATGCCTGAGTCTTACACTGAGACATGTAAAACCTGTTGCCCTCGAGTTGATTCTGACTCATAGCGATGCTATAGGACAGAGAACTGCCCCATAGGGTTTCCAAGGAGCGAGTGGTGGATTCAAACTGCCAGCCTTTTGGTTAGCAGCTGAGTTCTCAACCACTGCACCACGAGGCTCAATGTATGGGCTGTTTTTCAACACAATTATAATTTGAAATAATTTTTAAAAGCCAGAGAGTAATCTAAATTACTGGCTAGAAACGACCTGCAGCACCTTCAAAAGAAATTGCAAGAAATTATTTCCATACATATTCTGTCTAATAGAGAATGAATAACACCCCTTTACAGGAAGAATTTTAAATTTTATATAAGCAGGGATAAAGGAAGAAAATGGCATATTTCAGGAATTCCCAGACTTGTGATTCATGGATCACTAAAATCTGGGGTGGGGGGAAAAAGGGTATCTAGCAGTGGACTTTTTCTTTTGCCAAGGAGGGTTTTTTTTTTTTTTAAATTGTCACTATTACTACCATAATTTCAAAAAAAGAAAGGAGATTTAAATGTCAACAAACAGGAATTGAACTCCTTTAAATTGAATAAATTTAGCATTATAAGAAACTCACTGTTCTTTCCTTTTTCTTTATTCATTGTGGACCAGGGAAAACTTTATTACAGACTGGTACAGGCCTATGGCCCACTGGTGTTGAGAACCAATGGTATATTTGCATATAAGGGGCATTAATAATGCATTTATAGATGCCCCCCCAAAAAAAATCATAATCAAAAAGGGTTGAATATACCCTTTTTATGTAATCTTTTATAAAATTTTCTGAATATACATGAAATCTGTTCATTTTAGATAATTTGAAAAAAATGTAAGAAAATTTAAACCATCCATAATCTACTCTATGATAAACACTGTTAATATTTTGGCATATACCCTTCACAGTATAAAACTTTTAATAAAAAAATAATTCTAATAAACACAGCCTCCTCTCATACCTTCCCACCCAGCCTAAACACACAGGAGGTTAGACACAGTAGCCAGAGTTCTCTATCATTGGCCTTAGAAAGTCTGGGCCCGTCCTAAGTTCTAGACTCAATAGAATTTATCCAGGTGATGTCTAAGTCTGAGGCCAAGATAGCTCCTGTATCAAATCACTACCTGCTATTGGGCCTAGACCAAACCAGTTTATAAGATGCTCATGTAACAGGAAAGATTAAGACCCTGGCAATAACAATGATGATTCACCTAGCTTTAGGTCAGTTTCTCAAACTGTGGGTGACGAGCCATTATTAACATTTTTACTTTTTAAGAACTAGAACTGAAGAATATAGAAAATATCAGAGCACATCACATATAAGAGCAAATAACGCTTCAGGAGACTTGTTACAATCACACACAGAGACATATATATATATACACGTCTATGTGTATACACATACTGAGTCATGTAAAACATGTACTGTGAACGACAATTAGAAAAAGTTTGAAAACAGTGGTCTAGGGGACTTCAGCAAATTATTTTTTGCTTATCAGTTATAATGCCAAAGGCCATGTGTAGATCTCAGAGCTTAGGGCCTGGCTGCATGTTCCACCCCAATTAACAAAATTCCCAGAACT